TGCGGATAAAACCCCCCCCCCCCCCCCCTTATTATGTTGTCCTTTTTTATTGTGTTACTCTCTTGCATTCTATGATTAATTTAGTTTTTTTCTTTTAGCTTTACTATTATCGCTGCAGCCAGGCAGGGTATTAGGCTCCTTGAGGAGCAACATACGGTATGCAGTTGACGTTTAATTGAGAGTGGGGCGCCATCTCAGGTATGGCATCCCTGAGATGTTGTTCTACTGCAAAGTTCCCGAGGCAGTGTCGTGCGGCTGGGGGCTCTGTAGGCAGATACTGGTTGCTTTGTTGTGGGATGACCATCAAGGACCTTAATTCCCATTGTCAATTATTTTGTTAAGGTTTTTTGTTATATGGCTTTATACTTAATAAAATGGCTGCTGTGGCCACTAAAATCCAATACAGGTGTTGTGTCAAATTAATTTAAAAGAGGGATTAAGTTGGAGGGTTTGTTTTGTTTAGCCAGTTAACACATGAGGGACGTATCCAATACCCTTGTCAAGTATTACAACTACCACTTAGCCTTATGTTAAAGAAATCACACTATTGTTATGTACACGGTGACCCTCTGAATGATATGTATTTCCTAAGACGGTGAATTATCTTGCAAATGTACCTAGACTGTCACTCTATATACTGTCTTTTTTCCTATATAAACTCACCTGTTTCTTTTTCTGTATGTTATTTACAAAATGTAAAATAAGGATTGTGATTAATTTTAAAATTTTAATAAAGTGATGAATGGTTGGTGGGACAGGGATTAGACAATGCACCTGCCTCATTGTCCCCACTGGTGTAAGTTGCAAATACTTTAAAATTCCTAAAACTCTTGGAGCACTGCAGAACCCAGTGCCATCATCAGCATCAGTCAGTTGTTATGAAGAAATGTTATTTTGTTATTTTTCTCATGCAAATGGACATTTAGACTAGCATCAATGTAGCAAGGACAAACATTTGCCAACCCTTTTACTATCATGATTACTTGTTTATAAACCTAATGCACTAGGTTGGTATATTTGGGGAGATGGGGAGCTAAGTGCAATGGGACAGTACATGAGAGAGTTTCTTAATGGTTCTTTTTGTCACAAAGCACTCTAATTTGTGAATCCTGTTTCTTTGATTACAAACCTGGCTTGTATTCTGCTGTTTGCTGCCTATGTTGCAACTTTGCTTGAATAATGTCCTCCCTGACCTGTGTATGATTTTAGCTGACTGCTGCCTACCCTAATTACAGCTTGTTTCCATTAGTCTCTTGCCTCCTATTTTGGTTGGCATTATCTGCACATCACTGGTAACCAGAGGTGCAAATCTGAAGGTTCATAACACCTCAGACAGGTTGCTGGTGAGTATATACCACTGAATCTCAGCACCTTAGGGAAACAGGAAAGCCTAAGTCACCTTCTGGTGATGCAGATAGACAAAGCTATATATACAGTATCTCACAGAAGTGAGTACACCCCTCACATTTTTGTAAATATTTTATTATATAATTCCCTGTGATGACACAGAAGAAATTACACTTTGCTACAATGTAAAGTAATGAGTGTACAGCTTGTATATCAGTGTACATTTGCTGTCCCCTCAAAATAACTCAACACACAGCCATTAATGTCTAAACCGCTGGCAACAAAAGTGAGTACACCCCTAAGTGAAAATGTCCAAATTGGGCCCAATTAGCCATTTTCCCTCCCCGGTGTCATGTGACTCGTTAGTGTTACAAGGTCGCAGGTGTGAAGGGGGAGCACGTGTGTTAAATTTGTTGTGATCGCTCTCACTCTCTCATACTAGTCACTGGCACCTCATGGCAAAGAACTCTCTGAGGATCTGAAAAAAGAATTGTTGCTCTACATAAAGATGGCCTAGGCTATAAGAAGATTGCCAAGACCCAGAAACTGAGCTGCAACTTGGTGGACCTGATGGAGAACTTCAGGTCCACCTCTGCTGATTGACAGCAGCAGTAGGCAGGTGCAATAGCCAGCCTACTATTGGCTATTGCAATTTGAAATGGCCAATAGCAAAGAAAAAAACATATCAGGGGAATCAGCAGATAATAGGGAGCTAATGCTGTGATCTGATATCACAGTGGCTCCGCTGGGTTCACAGTGTGTAATGACAGTTCAGCGTCCCCTGGTTACCAGGTAACCAGGGGGCGCTGATCTGTTATTACAATGAGAGCTTAGCGGAGCCGGCCTTGATATAACCGCCGGCTCCGCCGAGCTCTCATTGTAATGACAGCTGGTCCTGGCCAACAGAAAACAGTTGGATGGAGCTAGCTGTTACTGCTAGCTCCACCCAATCATTTTCTTTTTTAAACTTTTCTAATTGTTTTTCTATTCTGCTCGGTACTACGGAGGTACCGAGAAGAATAGACGAGCTGGGCGGCATTTGGCTATTCACTCACTGCTGTTCGGCCACTATGAGAATAGGCCGAACAGCAGCGAGTAGCCTGTCGGAGGTTCGACTCAGCCGATCCAGATGTTGGATTGGCTGAGTCGAACACCTTCTGCACTTCAGGTCGGCCGACCTAAAGCCAGCCGAAGCAAGCCAATGTATGGCTGATTTCAGCCAATATATGGCTGAAATCAGCCGTACAAGCCTGAAGTGAATAGCTGAACTGCGTTCGGCTCCCTTCATTTCGGGTCAGTTATACACATGGCTGCCTTCGGCAACTTTGTGAATAACCCTCCAGGTCTTCTGCATTTGGCTCAAGATCCCGGAACTGGGAAATTTCTAAGAGAATTGGGAGGGATGAAATCTCCATTCCTGGGTCCGTACTTTAGTAGTGCCAAGCACCCAATGATTGTGCACCTGTGCACAACCCATATGAAAAGGCTGATGTTCAGGGTTCCATCTGGGAGAAGAGGAGGTATCTGCCCAGGAGTCAGGAGGACTCCATCTTGGAACCAGCCTGTGTGCGAATTGATGAGAACCAGCATGTGTGGCAAGTCTGTTTGATACAGCCTGTGTGGGAGAGGTTTAAAGTGACAACCTGAAGTTGGTGAGACTTTGCAAATGTTGTTTTGCTCAAAGACAAAGCTGAACTTTCTGTTATAATGATGGAGAAACCCCTGTGTGGGCAAACTTCTGTGAACTTTCAAATAAAAGTGGGCAGGAAGCCCTAAAAAATTTTACACAGAAAAAAACTTTTTGGTTATTTAATCACCCTACCGAGCATCAAAGAAGGTAAGGATAGAGGCTCCACCAGCACCGTGTCCTCTCTGGTTGTCATGGTTGTCAACAAAGACCAAGGCTCTGTCACTTGGCATAAAGCCCCAACCTTCTCCCCAGTTCCTGCAGAGGAACAACAATGAACAGGAAATTAGAAAAATACAAACTCATCAGTTAATTTTTTTTTATTATATGACCACAGCTACAAGCTTTTAGAATAAGGTTTGATTACCGACATATTCCCAAATAATATATAGCATGGACTAATGATGCAGGTGTGAGAAAAAAACAAAGAAAGAGAAAGAAAGCTGAGACTGCTGCAAAATGACTTCTTCTATATAGAAGAAAATGTTAAGCTGATCGCAAATATTCATTCATTTATGAAGAACTAACAATTTAATATGAATACATAAAGTGCCTATTGTTTGTTTCTTAACACAACTTTGTATCTACTCTGTTCTACTTCCTCCCACTACAGTACATGGACTTGCTCTTACAAATCCAGCAAATTAATTTTCAGAATCTAGCAACAAAATAATACAAATGTAAACTTATCCAACAAAAAATTATAAATGTCCTATAGTATCTCACCTTAAATATGCCATCTTTTCTCCATTCCACTTGCGGATGACTGTACCAAGTTTGGCTCCGTATTTAAATTCAGTAACACGGCCAATTCCAAAGTACTGACTGGAACCAATAGCCTCTCCTCCAAGATCAATTACCTAAAATTACATATTATATGTGGTCTTTTTGCAGCATCGTTTAACAAATCCAGGCATACGGGATTCTGTGTAACAGTATGATGTACTGGCATGAATATAAAGAAGTAATATGCACTATCTCTACATCCTAATTTTTTTTTATATTTTACATGTTAGGGTAATGATCAGAAGCCCTTCAGGAGTTGACCATTGACATTGAATAGGTGCAGGAAGAGTGATGTGCATAAGAGTTGTCAGTTCCCACTCCACAGCTCCACGTGCAAAGAGGCAGAATACTGGTGACATCATTGACCTTATATGACAACATGACCTTATTGGGTCAATTAAATTGACCCAATTAGGCCATGTGGCCATATAAGGTCAATTATATCAGCAGAATACTTCTGGGTTTGGATAAGCTTGAGTCCTGTCTGAATCTGAGCTCTTCCTTATTAAAGAATAGTATTATACCAACTTAAGTTTGTTTTCACAAGACGTTAGCTCTAATTGATAGGTAAGGTAGTGTAATGTGAAAGTAAAGCAATGTCTCATGCTTAGCCTACATGCAAACAGTGTTTAGATATTTTTTAAAGGCTCTAACTAATCCACAAATTGTAATTTAGTTTCATCAGATTGCAGCAAAGGCACTGATTGATCCATAACTGTTACTTTGTTGGGCTAGAAATAGTATATTTATAAACATTTGTAGGTTAAACCCTCTACACTGTAATATTACAACATCTAGGCCCACAGAATATACTGTGTGGTAAAAAAAAAGGTTTATGTAGAATATTATACTTTAGATTACCTCTTGAAAAACAAAAGGCCTAGCTCCACCAGGGAACCATCTGGTGTTGAGGTTTGTCAGTCTGTCTGTGATGGCTTTAATATCTCCAGGCCACATGTGTTTTGCAGCATCCAGTCTGAAACCAGCTACTCCGATATTAATGAGATTGTTCATAAACTCAGCAATCTTTCCACGAACATAATCCTTTTCTAGAGCCAAGTCCACAAGACCAACAAGTTTGCAGTCTCTAACCTAGGGGTAGGAAAAGATTTCATGATTTGTTGACCATTTATGAATTTTGCTGTTGCATATTACAATGTGTACAAGTTCCTTTTTAAGTATAATAGGTCACATGCTGTAATCAGGCAAAATATCATGTGATTATAATACGAACGATAGATAGATAGATAGATAGATAGATAGATAGATAGATAGATAGATAGATAGATAGATAGATAGGCAGATACAGTAGATAGATTGACAGTCAGAAAAAAATAAAATATAGATAAATAGATCAGATTTCCTACCTGATAAATATCACCATAGTTCTCAATTTCACCACTGCCAGTCTTGCACTTTCCATCATTGAAGTCCCAGCTAGAATATGGGACTGAAGGGAAATCCCTTGCACCTGCACTGAAATAGCTGCCACAAGTTGAATGTGTACCTGCACCCATGCCCGAGCCACACATGTGGTTAATAATAGCATCCACATAGATGTATACCTGTAGAAGAAATAGAATATGTTATACAAATGCCCAAAGTGTCTGAAACATTAGGTGTATAATGATATATCATTAGTAAATTTAGTGTAAGAAATTAAATTATCAGTTAGAAAATTAAGTCAAATACTATTTGTACTATTATAATTTAGAGTGCTTTAGGGCCAATATAGCATTTCAACAAAGTTAGGCTAGAGTTGTGCCTATAAAAATCCTGTTTACCATTCTAATAATCCCCAGTACTGTATATTTTCAACTGACAGCTTCTGCCCTCAGGACATTTACTTTGCTTTGATACCAAAATAATAATTAAACATCCTACCATACCAACCAATGAATTTAGCTGTGAAACTTTTCTGTCAATGTAAACTATTGCATACAAATACGTGTTATATTACAGTTAGTGTTCTTTTTACTGTCTCAGAAGAAGATAGATCATATCTATCTGCAAGACTACATTTAGTAATATAAGGAACAAGCATTGTGGTCATCAGGCATTTGTCTTTTATCATGGTGAGCAGTAAGGTGTAAACATAAGAATCTTGCAATATAAAACAGATTAGAACTGACAGAGCCTAATCCTGGTGACACCAAGAGCACATTTCTAGCAGATTTAAACTTCCTTTCAGTCATAAAACTGACTGAACAGATCGAGACCAACTATGACCTACAGCTCATACATGTAATATATATAGCAGGGATGTTGTCAGGTTGCCCTAAACTGTTATTGTTGTAATCAAAATTGGTTGCCCATGTGTATGGCCAGCATTAGTGATTTGTGAAAGATGCTCTTTAACTGGCTCAGTAGTCAAGATAAAAACCCTAAGAAAGTACCATAATAACAGTTCATCTTTAAAACCTGTGCTATAGATGTACTATTCATCATGATAATAAGTTGGAGGGGTGATTGTTTAAAGCAATTAAATACGTTTAGGAAGAAGCATCATTGCTCACCGCAAGAGCAACATTTCATGGAACATTATTTTTCATTATAAAATAAAAAGCAGGCACAATAAACACACATCTTTCCATATAACACATTGTAAGTTATAATTACATGCATTGCTATTGTCTTATATTTTTTATTATTATCAGTTAGCTGCTGTTAATGCTGAAAGCACCAACATATTCTTAAAAATTTACCTACCCCAACATTGTTACATCTGGTCACCATGTCTCTGAACTGCTGTTCATTGCCAGATCTGGTGCAGAGCTTGTAGCTGATAGGCTGGTATCTTTCATACCATGGTCTCCAGGGATTACTAACAATTACATTCTCGTTTGGTGGAGAAATCTGTAAAATACAGAGACAAATTCAATATGCTGAAAACACTTTTTACAGATCTGCATTATCCTACTGAGTTTAAAAGTCTTGCTTTTCATGAATTGGATATCAAGGCATCATAACAAATACAGATTATACACAAGATTATTATTATATCAATATAATAATAAAAATAATTAAAGTTGTTACGCTACTTAGTTCTGAAACTCACAGATTTAGTCACAAAAGAGTTTAGAGAAGGCAGGAGAAGTGAACAATCTAGGCCAAAATAGCTGATTTGTAAAAATTCTCCAATTCAGCTCACTATCCAGTTCAGCTATGTTGTCATAGATTGTCTATGAGGGTTCTCATTCATCCAGGTTATGGTACATTGAGGAAAATAATTATTTGATTCCCTGCAGATTTTGTAAGTTTTCCTCACTGTACATCTGTAAAAAAAATTAAGTACAGGCAACTGGACTTGCTGTAAGACATTTCACTTGTCATCCAACCAGCTTTTTGACCTTTTTTTTTACAGATTGTCCTAGATTGTTCACTTCTTCTGCCTTCTCCAAACTCTTCACCCTTTTGTGAATAACTCTGTCAGTTATTTTGGCTAAACTTTAGGTGTAACGTGCAGTATGCTTTTTAATAAACATGTGCAATTTGTTTAGTTCCAAATTGACATTTGGACGAATATAGGCAAATTTGGACATTCAGATGCATAGGAATTTCCGAATAAAGAAATAAGGAATTGGGACATATCCGAATTTTCTGATAATTACATTCTGATGCATTCGAATTTTTTCAGAATGTCATTCAAAATGAACTTGTGGTGTTAAACGTTAAAATAAAAAAAGAGTGGTATAGACATGTGCATTCGGGTTCAGACAAACTTGCTGAATCACAACATTCTGTTGATTTGGCAGTCCGTTTAAATCTGAAATAACAAATTATTATATGCCCAAATATACAAAAAACTATATTTGAGCATACAGCGCATGCAGACAGTATTAAGACCCCGTTCACTTTTTTTCAGTTTTGTTATGTTGAAGCCTGTTGTTTAAGTTGTTTAAATTATTTTTTGTTTCTCATTATTCTACACACAGCACCCCATACTGACAAAGTGAAAACAGAATTTTAGAAATTACTGTGAATTTATTTAAAAGAAAATACTGAAATATCACATTGGCATAAGAATTCTGACCCTTTACTCATCACTTTGTTGAAGCACCTTTGGCAGAAATTACAGCCTCATGTCTTTCTGGGTATGACACAACAAGCTTTGAACACCCGGATTGGGTGATCTTCTGCCATTCTGCTTTGCAAATCCTCTCAAGCTCAGTCAGGTTGGATGGGGACCGTCAGTGGACAGCCATTGTCAGGTTTCTCCAAAGATGTTTAATAGGGTTCAAGTCAGGGCTTTGGCTGGGCTACTTTAGTACATTCACAGAGTTGTCCCTAAGCCACTCCTGTGTTGTCTTGGCCATGTGCTTAGGATCGTTGTCATGTTGGCGGGTGAACCTTTGGCCCAGTCTGAGGTCCTGAGCACTGTGGAACAGGTTTTCATTGAGGATATCTCTGTACTTTGTTCCTTTCAGCTTCCCCTCAACCCCGACCAGTCTCCAAATCCCTGTTGCTGAACCCCCCCCCACCCTCCCTCGACCAGCTCTTGGAAGAGTCATGGTTGTGCCAACCTTTTTCCATTTGAGAATTATGAAGGCCACTGTGCTCTTGGGAACCTTCAGTGCAGCAGAAAACATTGTATAGTCTTCCCCGAACTGTGCCTTGCAATAATCCTGTCTGAGCTCTGCAGGCAGTTCCTTTGACCTCATGGCTTTTGCTCTGATATAGTATGCATTGTCAGCTTTGAGGCCTTCTATAGAGAGGTGTGTGCCTTTCCAAATCATGTCCAATCAATTTACAGGTGGACTCCAATCAAGGTGTAGAAACATCTCAGCAATGATCAATAGAAATGGGAGGCATCTGAGCTAAATTTCAAGTATTGTTGCAAAGGGTCTGAATACTTATGCCAATGTGATATTTCAGTTTTTTTTATTTTTCATACATTTGCAAACATTTCTAAAGTTCTGTTTTCACTTTGTCATTATGGGGTACTTAGTGTAGATTAATGAGAAAAAAATAGAATTTAAACAACTGTAGTATTAAGCTGCAAAATAACAAAATTAAAGGGGGTCTGAATACTTTCTGAATGCACTATATATTTCTTTGTTTTGTATGGGCACCTGCATCTTGCTGGATCCACAATGGAGCTGCCCATACATGCGTGTGACATTACCCGACACTGGCATCGGGTGGGGTCATGTGCCCCGCCTCCAAAATGGCAGCGCGCATGCACAGAACGTGCTGGTAACCAATATGGCTGCCACACTTTTCTTTTTCAATTGTGTGCTTTCAGATTCGGAGGGTCATTGCCTCTGAATCCAAAACAGCATAATTATTTGTTTCATCAAATGAAACTAATTAAAATGTTTTTCCCTTTTCATTCGCTTTGTCCGAAACAAATTTGTATGCTGAGCGAGCATGCACTGTACCAGGCCACATGCCCTCAACATGTGGATGGTGATTTGCCAGGGGGACCCCTTGGCAAAGCATCTTGTCCTCGTTTTGATGAGGACAAGGGCCTCTTCCCCATAACCCTGGCTCGGTGGTTGTGGGGGTCTGTGTGCAGGGGTGCTTATCTGAATGGTGATGCCCCCTTTCATAAAGGGGGCACCCTGATGCTAGTCCCTGGATGGTACCCTCAAGATGCAACCCCCCTTAGATGTTACTAATTTACCAAATACAGTAAAATTGTAAATAAACACACAACAAAGTTAAAAAAAAAGTATTTAATAAAAAAAATGTCCATCGATGTAATCCCAAGGTCAATCACGTCATCCAGCGATGTAGATCAATTTCAATCATGATGGATGATGGGCACCGACTTGCTGAAAGAAACAATACCCAACGCCCAATGTCACAACCGATCCCAATGAACTCTCATCACAAAATTACTCTGTTCCCCAATGTTAACAAAGGGTTGGATTGAGTGCTAATGTTACGGGACTTGTTCCGCCTCTTTATTGGCATTCATAAGGACAGCTCTGCTCCCAAATGTCAACAAAGGGGCAGAGCGAGTCCTGACTTCATGGGACTTGTTTCACCCTTTTGTTACATAGTTATATAGTTATTCAGGTTGAAAAAAGACACATGTACATCAATTTAAACCTATAGAGATATGAAAAAAAAGAAGAAAAGCCTAAACAGAACGCTATGCCCACAATTACCCACTGTTGATCCAGAGGAAGGCAAAAAAACCCTTTAAAGCATGGTTCAATTTGCTCCAACAGGGGGGGAAAAATCCTTCCTGATCCCATAAGTCAACCGTATATTTCCTGGATTAACAATATCTGATGCTTATTATACCTGAAGAACTCAATATCCAGTAATATTCTGTGCATTTAGGAATACATCCTGATTTGTTTTAAACAATTAACTGAGCTAGCTAGAACTAGCTCCTGGGGAGTCTGTTCCACATTTTCACACCTCTAACTGTGAAGAATCCTTTCCATATGCATAGGTTAAACCTCTTTTCCTCCAGACGCAAAGAATGCCCCCTTGTCCTTTGCAGTGATCTTAAAGTGAATAATTTGGCACCAAGCTCACTATATGGACCATTTATGTATTTATACATGGTGATCATGTTCCTCTTAATCGCCTCTTTTTCAGAGAGAACAAATTCAGGTCAGTTAATCTTTCGTTATAGCTGAGCGCCTTCATACTCTTATGAGTTTAGTTGCCCTTTGCTGCACTTTCTCCAGTTTCACAATATCCTTTTTGTGAACTGGTGCCCAAAACTGAACTGCATATTCCAGATAAACTCTTACTAATGCTTTGTACAGGGGCAGGATTATGTATCTATCATAGAGGGACTACAAATCTCAGCAATACGTTATACAGCAATGCAGAATACTAGATATGTGCGCCAGCAAAAAATTGTTTCATTTCGTTTTCATTCAGATTTTTCTGTATTTTTTTTTACGAGCGTCCCACCCTCCCTATGCCATACCAGGCATGTGCCCTCGGCATTGGGAGGGTGCCCCATTCCGATGGGTACAAGGCCCTTTTCCCCACAACCCTGACTTGGTGGTTGTGGGGCCTGTGGTTTGGGGGGCTTATTTGCATTGCGGTACCCCTTCAATTAAAGGGGCACCCAGATGCCGCTCTCCCACCCTTTTGAATGAGTAAGGAGTACTTACTAAAGGGTTAAAAGTAAGTGTAAATGAAGAAACCACACATTTTGAAAAAGTCCTTTAATTGAAAAAAAAAACCAAAGAGTCAGTTTTTGACAAGTCTGTGAGCTGAGGTGTTATATGAATAGTATTATGACACCTCGGCTAACAGACCCGAAGGGCATTCTGGAGCTAACGAATAGCTATGTCCCGTATGTTATTCTGTTATTTGACAGTTTAGAATGTCAAATGGGCAGAGTGAGCCTTGTGACATCAAGGCTCGCTTTGTCCATTTGTTTACATTCAGATCCGAGAGATATAATTTTGCGACGAGTCTTTGTCGGGTTCAGACGGATCGGCGTACCGCAGGACTTTTTTTTATTCAGGCGTTGTTCATTGTGATTGATGCTGACTTACATAAACGGAGCCATTTTTTTTTTTAAATAAATGACTTGAAAAAAACTGACTATTTTTTTTTCAATTAAATTACTTTTTCAAAACGTGTGGTCTCTTCATTTACACTTACTTTTAACCCTTTAGTTAATGAGTAGGGGTACCCCTTACTCATTCAAAAGGGGGGTGTGGCGGTATATGGGTGCCCCCTTAATGAAAGGGGTACCCCAATGCAAATAAGCCCCCCTGCCCGCAGACCCCCACAACCACCGGGACAGGGTTGTGGGGAAGAGGCCCTTGTCCCCATCGGCATGTGGCCTGGTATGGCACAGGGAGGGGGGCACTCGATCGTTACCCCCTTTCTTGCCCTGCCAGGCCGGTGCTCGGATCGAGGGGCTAGTA